CACCCGTCCACAGCCAACGACAAAGCGCCTCGCTGCACTACTCTCCACATCCACAAAAAACAAAAATGATGACCGTGTATCTGTCCGAATTCTATTGGAAGATTCACTACTCTCGACATCCACAAAAAACAAAAATCACGACCGTGTATCTGTCCGTATTTCAAGAGTAGTGCAGCGAGGCCCAAAACATAAAAGAGAACGCAAAAACGAAACGAAACCGGACCGTCCCGAGAAAAAAACAAACGCCAAACGCGTCCACAAAAAACAAAAATCATGACGGTGTATCTGTCTGTATTCTGGCGGAAGATTCACTACTCTCGACATCCACAAAAAACAAAAATCATGACCGTGTATCTGTCCGTATGTCAAGAGTAGTGCAGCGAGGCCCAAAGCATAAAAGAGAACGCAAAAACGAAAGAAAACCCGACTCGCCCGAGAAAAAAACAAACGCCAAATGCGTCAGATGCGTCAGGCGCGTCAGAATTTTACATCGGACGTCTCACGCTTCGCGATGCAAACAATCGCGCATCAGAATTTTACATCGGACGTCTCACGGTTCCCGATGCAGAAACACTAACGTGGACCATTGCAGATGTGCGAGTCGGTGCCGCGGCTGATAAGCTTTAGTAGGATTGTCGGATAAAAGGTAATGAATTATTAATAATTAAAAAAATGGGATTGTCTAATAAATTATTATAGAGAGAGATCATGTCCGGACCCCCAAAAAAAGCATAAACGGGCCTGAAAACTCCCAAAACAATTTTGGGGGCTTGGCTCCTCAATGGGGAAGGGTCCTGGGCCGTTTTTTGTTTTTTTTTTCCCCCCCCTCGAATTTTGGCAGATCCGGACCTTCCAGACCGGACGTCTGGAGTCCGGACTGAATCCAGACCGTCTGGACGGCGGTCCGGACGTCCGGATCGTAGCTATGCTTAAAATGGCGAAGAGAGAATTGTTTGTTAGGTTTGTGAAGGATGTTCAAAAGTATTAACGTTTGACAAATTTGAGACTGTTCAAATCTGAAGAGTCCTCCGCAGGCCAAACACAAAGTCAGGAGGGACCCCGGCAGCTTTTGGGGAGTGGCTCTGTAGTGGCAGTGTGAGATATTATTTGTTGTGGCTTGGAAGTTGGAACGCTTGTGAGCAGACTTGAAGAGCTTGAACTGTGGGTGACAGTCCCTCAGGCCGTTTTTTCCACAGCACGTGGGATTGTGCCCTGTGCCCGTGTGCTTCAGGCAATAAAGCTCCACAAGTGGTTAGTAGGGACCCCCACTTTTCAGGCCCATACTTTAATCCCCCAAGGGAGTTTTGTTACAAGGAAACCATGAAAAACCCTGAAAATCCAGGGCTCTGTTAACCGCTTCTCTTAGCCCATGGTTAGCGAGGGTTAACCATATGTAGGACCCTTTCTTTTTTTTATGTTTTTTTTTTTCACCATATGCAGGACCCTCGTTAACCATGTGCTCCACTTGATAGTGTTTGTGGCTTAGCACATGGTTAACGACGGTCCAAGAATGATCTACTTGATAGCGTTTCTGGTGTCCCGCAGGCTTTTTTTTTTTTTTTTTGCTTTTCGCCAGTGATATTTACACACAAGCGGTATCGATCCTACCGTTTTCAGTTCATCATCGGATCAAGACCTATCGACCCAGTGGAGTGTTTACTACTTCAACTTTTACGCTGCAAAGTACATGCCAAGCGGCGGACGTGCTGGCACGCGCCGCTCAACTGCATGGGGAACTTTTCACTTCTTTTATGCTTTTACTGTCTTGAGGCGATTCCTGCGAAAGGGTAATTGGGTTGGTCCTTTTTGACAAGACACATGCAAAATGCATTCATCCTTTCTTTCACCCACTAAACAAACAAACAAAAAAAAACAAACAAAAAAAAAAAAGAAGAAGAAAACATAACCTTACTCTTGATTACTTCCTGTGTGAAGGATATACCACCTCTCACCCCTGCCTAATCTGGCCTCAATGACTTCCTCTTGAAGTTGGTTGGCTCCGGGGACCTGGACTTATGTCTGTAGTACTGCTAATTGGAGTCGTTCTTTGACTTCTTTCACCCACTCACATGGGGTATGTGCAGTTCTCTCTGCACATCACAAATGGTTACTCTACAGATTGGTGTGAAGTATGGTTAAAATGGCCCTTTGGTTTTCTTATAAATGGGGGTGAAAATTGGGGGCTCGGTTAACCTTCTCTCCCCTGGGTGTGGATTGCAACCTTGTAGGTATGATATGCTCTTCTTGTCACAGCTGAACTCATCGCGGTATCTCAGGGCATACTCACACTAGGACTTCTATACGTATCTATGGACGGAATTGTGGTCAGATGCATTGAGGTCCAGCTGTAAATGCGGTCAGATATATTAGACATAGAGCTTGTGTGAGTATGCCCTCAGATCGGAAGGGGAACAGTCTGTCAAGCATGTCCCTGGACGAGGAATCAGGATATGGAGGGTGTGGCGTCTGTGGACTTAGTCTTTTTTTAGATGAGCTGACTGGAGGACTGGGCGCAGCAGCTATCTCTATGCCGGCTAGCACGGTTGATGATTGTTTGGCATACTATTGGCAGTTGTCTTTTTAAGTGGTTTATAATTCTTTTGATTAGTCTCATCCCTTCCTTGTCTCTATCCCCACCCTCCAGCATCGAAGTCTGAATGTTACATGATGTTATGATGTTATTTTTCATCTCTGTTGCAGTGTGCGCGTCAGTCGACAGTGCTGCTTGAACTCAGGGCCGACAAATCTGGCCTTGAGGCTGATAGAAAGCGGGCACAGCAAGAAGTGGAGGCTCTTCAGCAAAGACTGATGAACGAGATCAATGCTCGGAAGCAGCAGGCATGTATGCTCTCTGCTCAGAGCTTTGCTTTTCTTTTACTCTTCTTTTCTTTGTTAAGTAGAGAGAATGAAAAAAAAAACAGACACAACATGAAAATCTCTTCTCCCTGTCGTCATTTCCCCCTTGTCCTCTAACAATCACTTCTAGTCTTCATCCACCACAAGAGAGAATTAATGACGACTGTTGGTCGTGATTGTGAGTTAGAGAAAGGAAAGGTTGGCGATAAAGAAGATGGCAAGAGGCTGGATCCTTTTTCATAACTAGTGATTTGTTTTCAAAAATTGGTAATATTAAGAGAATTTAAGAAAGAAGAAGGACAGGACCATGCTTATTAATCTTCGCTGTATCGTTCCAATTTGAATGGATGTTCCAGCATGCAGAAATCAAGAAATGTCTGGTCCAAATAAAAAATAAAAATAAGAGGAGCTTTGGCAGGGGTGAGCTTCTTCAAACTCAATAATGAGTCACTTCCAGCCAAGTATTTCAGGATGGAATAAAACATGTGTGGTAACCAAAGGTGGAATTCCTGTCGAATCAGGATCAATGATTGTGATTCTGGAACCACAACCTCTCTCTCTCTCTCTCTCTCTCTCTCTCTCTCTCTCTCTCTCTCTCTCTCTCTCTCTCTCTCTCTCTCTCTCTCTCTCTCTCTCTCT